CTCAAGTGGTAGCTCGCTCGCCTGGTATGCGTGCAGCCCGGGTTCGATCCTCAACACCACACACAAACAAAGATGTTGTGTCCGCCCAAAACTAAAAAATAAATAAATAAATATTAAAAATTCTCTCTCTCTAAAAAATAAATAAATAAAAATAAAAAATAAAAAATAGGAAACCAAATTATATAAATAGAAAGAAGATAATTTATATGAAAGTACCCTATAAGTATAAAAAGCACAAAACAAATGTAAGATGATATAAATATTTACATCAATATTTATGACTATTATTTATAGTCATCCATATTTCTGAACTCACCAAAAATTAAGGAAGTTATGTAGAAGTTGATTTCTAGAATAAAGTCTCTCTTCTTTTGAGTCCATGCATATAATCTCCATAAAAGGAGACTATAAATCTCTTCATCGAAGCCAAATGAGGGAATTGCCACAAAAGAACAAGTGGAGCTATTCGATCACATGATGATTGCTATGCACCTGTAAGGAAATGAAAGCAGAATATCTAAATTGGTAACAGAATTTTCATTGAATTCTCTTAATTAGCTCACTCCAGGGGAATGAATATAATCCACTCTTTCCATTTCCAGAGGCTTCCAATGTGTCAGTAGTCTATTTTTATTACATGAATTGCTTTACAAATAAGCACAGTGTGAAGCATCAGTAGTTTATAAAAACTGCATTAATGTACCAATTTGTTTAGAAGCCAAGAAGAGAATATGATCACAGCCTAGAGAGAATGTAATGGGCCCAGCTTGAACTTTTTCTCAGCCAACACCATTGAACACCTGTTAGTAATAGTGAAGAAGTTTCAGAGACTATAGAGCATCTAAATACATTGCTCTAAATTCCACACTCCAGCAGTGGTGATTTATTTTCTCCTTAGTTCTCCCTAGCTAAATCTTCTCAAGGAGTTAGTTTGGGAAAAAGAGATTTCTCTGTGCAAGACTCTCAGAGACATTCAGGATGGGCCAAAATTGAAAAGTAACTAGGCTCAATAAATTAGTATATATGGATTAAGGAAAAAATAAAAAGTATTTTTCTTGAAAAAGGATACAGTAAGCAAAGAAAAAATAAAATTAGTTGGAAGAAAATAGCATGAAAAAGTTATTATGCAAAAAGCTTATAAAAATAGGAAATAAAATTTTCATTAACCATAGAAAAATGGGCTGGAGCCCAGAAAATATGCAAATGGTTTTCAACCATAACAGAATGCAAAGGGAAACATCACAAATACATCATTTCTCATCTTTACATCGGCAAATATTCAAACATTTGACAAAGTAATCTGTTGGAAAGGTCTACATAAGTAGAAACACCATACATGGCAAAATCTAGCAAAATTATACATGAATTTTTCTTTTATCCAAAAATTCCACATTTAGGAATCAATCTCCAAAAAACATAGGTAAAAATACAGAGATATAAGTATAAGGAATCCATTGCAGCATTGTTTGTAGTAGAAAAATGCTGAAAACAACCCTACTGTTGAAGTGATAAAATAAACTATAGGCCAGTGATTCTCAAATACTTTTGGTTTATTGTAATTACTCAGAGAACTTGTTAACACACAGGTTAGTGGGCCCCAATCCAAGCTTCCAATTCAGTGTCTTGGGTGTGGCCTGAGAGTATACACTTCTAAAAGTGATGGTGGCGCTGCTGGTCCAGGCACCACAATTCGAGAACCACTGATAAAGTATAACCACATGATGGGATACTTCACAACTATGAAAAGTAGGAAAGAGTATTACTATCTACGATACTATGGAATCATCTTTGAGTTGTGGTTTTTAGTGAAGAAAAGCAAAGTAGAAGGAAAAGTGTGCAATTCATACTTGTTATTCAAGAAAGGAGACATACAAATATATATATATATATATATATATATATATATATGGACTATATTTGCTTATATTAAAATAATAAACCATAAATTTGGAGGAGAAAGGGAGGAAGGAAAAAGCATATAGTTAGACTTTTGGTATGCACCTTGTTTTACAGCTATGACTTTGGAAGAACATACATATTTTATTTAACTATAAAATAAAATTTAAATAAAAATTCTAACAAATTATGTGAAATAAATAAACCTAAATGTATTTCCATCTGATGACAGAACCACACAGAACATAATAATTCCAAATAATTTTAAAACAAACTTGACTATAGAGCCTCTGTGGAATATGTCTCATGATATTAAGTGTAAAAAATAAAATAAAACCCCAAACTCTGGTGATCATACTGGTGGCAGTAGTGTAGGAATTGTTTTTCAGAGATGATTATATGTGATAAAGCAAATGAGTAAATATTGGATATCTTTACTATTTTTAGTTCTATGATTCTCAATCATCATTGATAAACAGAATACTTGGCATGGGAGAAAGAAGATTTACATAAAAAATAGAAGAGCTTATGTATAAATATTGTAATCTTGAATTTGTCATATTAGTATTAACTTGTAATTTATCTTTCAAAAAAAACCCACAAAATAAAATTCTTTCTTTGTCCCATAAGGAGGCCAGATAGATTGTGTTTTCTAAATACCATTTCTCACTAAAAGGAAACAGAAATCCTTGGAAAAAATGGTGGATCCTAGGACTGAAGCAGGAAATACACAAGTCTTCAAGGAATCAGACAATTTTAATCCTTTCAAAAAGTACTCTGCAGCCTGCAGTCAACTTAGACTCCTGCTAACCAGAAGGGATCTACTTTGAGGCTCAGTGAGAATGATAACAGCAATGGACCAAAACTCATCAAATATGTTTAAAATGATGAGTTAAATATTTAAAAAGAAAAGAAAGAAAAAGAGGCTAAATTAGCTTATCATGTCAATGATCCAACTTTTTCTGTTGTTGTCATATATGTTATTTTTATTCAAAGTCTTTTGGCTGTGTGTGTGTGTGTGTGTGTGTGTTGTTTTGTTTTGTTTTTTGGTTCTGGAGATTGAACCTGGGAGCATTGTACCATTGAGTTATAGCCCCAACCCTTTTGTTTTTTTCTTCCTTTCTCTCCCCCCACCCCCATCTCTCCCTCTCTCCCTCCCTCCCTACCCCCTTCTCTTTTTTCTTTTCTTTTAATACAGATTCTCACTAAATGGCCTAGGCTGAGCAGCTGGAAACTGCAATTCTCCTTCCTCGACCTCCCTAGTAGTTGGGATTACAGGCGTGCACCAGCATACCTAGCAATCAGACTCTTGCTAAATCCTAATCACAGTTGAGAATTATATATTTGGGTACCCATTCAATGAGCCCATCATCTCTTCTCAGTCATCTTTTTTAAAAAATATTTTTTCAGTTGTGTATGGACCTTTATTTTATTTATTATTTATATGTGGTGCTGAGAATTGAACCCAGTGCCTCACACATGCTAGGCAAGCGCTCTGCCACTGAGCCCCAGCCCCAGCCCCTCTTCCCAGTCATCTTTAAGGGACATATTTTCTTTTCTTTCTTTTTATGGGCACATTATAATTATACATAATAGTGGAATTCATTATGCCATATTTATACATATACATAAGATAATTTGATCAATCTCATTCCCCTTTACCTTTCCTTTCCCTATTTTTCTTCCTCCCTCTACTGATCTCCCTTCTATTATGTTTATTATTGGAATCATAAAAACAGGATTCATTGTGATATATTCATACAAGGACATAGCATAATTTGGTGGATTTCATTTCCCAGTACTTCCCCATGATCCCCCCTCCTCCCATTCTCTGAATCTCCCTTCTCTACTGAGAATCAACCATTTTAAAAGCTGATCAATAAGAGAAAAAATAGATTCCTATTATATTTGAGACATAAAATAATACACAGCTAAATTGGGAAATAAATTCTTTCTTGTTTCATATATTCCAGGAAAGCGTCTTTAAGTGCTCTGATAGAAAAGAAAAAAAAAGAACAAAAGAAGTCCAATGATGTGTCTGGAGACATAGCTCAGTGATAGAGTGCTTGTCTAGCAAGCACAAGACCCTGGGTTCACCCCTAACACTGAAGAGAAAAAAACAAAAACTCCATGATGTTTTATATCAAACTTAGTAGTATGAAATCTAGACTTCTAATCATAAATACAATACTACTACTTATTGAATATTTACTACATGCTATTAACTGTTCTAGGCATATTATACATGTTAACTAACTTAATACTTTCAACAATACTATAAAATAAGTGCTAATCTTATCTGCATTTTATAGATGAGGAAACAGGAAGAGGCAGATCAAGGTTACCGTAATAGAAAACCATAGAACTAGGATTTAAATGGCAGTAGTTTTGCTGCAGAGTTTTAAGTTCTTAACGAGTTTTTCAAAAAGGAAAGAGAAGAGACAGCATTCATGTCACCACTCGGTGGGCACTTTGTGGCAGCGAGGAAAAACACTGAAGCAAAAGACAGGCTATGCTTCAAAACTTCTGTGTCATTCTGAACAGGTTTCTGCATCATTTTGAGTTTCAGTTTGCTCATCTGTAACATGCAAATATATTTTTTCACTTCAGAAATTCTATTTTGATATTTTGATAAGTGATATTTATCTACTTGAACATATTGATTCCATTTCCAAGTTACACGTGTATTTTCTCAACTTTGTCTACAATGAAATATGTCTAAAATCAGACATCTCAGAGGGCTCCTTAGCAATCTGGACCCTCATCATTTGTTATACTTTATTTTCCTACTATCTGCCCCCCCAAATATTTCTTACTCAATTTCAATCCATCATCTCTTGCATTTATTTTTTAAATTGCTATCAAAATTAATAACAAGGGCTGGGTGTGTTGACACATGCCTGTAATCCCATCAACTTAGGGGGCTGAGGCAAGAGAATCACAAGTTTGAGGCCAGTGTGAGAAACTTAGCAAGACCCTGTCTCAAAATAAAAAAAAAAAAAATGTTTAAAAAAAGGATAGAGAGAACTCCATGGTAGAGTGCCCTGGGTTCAATCCCCAGGGACTTAATAAATAAATACATAGGAAGAAAGCACAGCCTTATGGAAAATTAAATCTGGTTTTCTTTATTAATGTAAACACAACCATTATTTACATGTTATAATTCTATTATCATTCAGTTAATATTTTAGTTTCTAGTTCCTGGTTTTTCCTATTTTACAATCTATACAGATTGAACGCTCTTTGAGGGAGTTAGGATGCAAAGAAAAACTGTAATCATGAATTTATTTCAAATATCTTGTCTGCCATTATCCAAATATCCCTTTTAGGCATTACCATATATTCTTAATAAATCCTATGAGTCATAATACTTTATACCACATAATTTACATTGAATTTTGCAACCTAAAGGGCAAGTTTTTATTTCCTGCTGCAATTTTTTTAACTTCTCTGAGTTTCTTTCCATTGTTCCTTTTCCTTATATTTATAGCCTTTTCTGAAAAGAACCTAATACAACATTTTATATTTGTATATTGTTACTCCATCACTCATTGTTTAAGATTTTAAACATGGAAAGAGCCGTCCCACGAAAGCTTCATTCGGAGCTTCACATATTGTCATATTGTTGTTATTATGACCTCTTTATCTACAGACCCTCAGCCAGTTTTCATTGAATCATTTTATTTTGTGATTGCTCAAGTTTAAGTCTAACTTGCTTTATTTAAATTGCATGAGAAATTGCCAAATGATTTGATAATGTTCAAATATAACTGCCATCCCATAAGGGAGTCATTTCATAATTCTATCAAAACTGCAATTGGTTTTGTCAGAAGCAATTTGTTTTATAGAACCCTTTACTTATTTCAAATTACAATTCTCCTAGCCTTTGGATATTTGCATTTTCTTTTAATGTTTCTGACATTATGTGATGGTGCTGAGGTTAGACTAAGAACAGATTTATTGCTGTCCTTCATATTTATATATGATAATACACTGTTCTATGAGTAAGAAAAGTTTAAAAAACTGAAGGCGATCAGTACTGTCTATCTGAATTTTATGCACAGTGTCTATCTGAATGCTATGTTAGAGGATATTTATTAAATATTTTCTAATGGTACCACTATTTGTGTTTTTGGTTTCTCTCTGGAAGCTGCATGGAATTTATGCTGAACTCGAGCCAAGCCTCTGATTGCCATATCTCAACATAATATACCTGCTATTATAAATTCCAAGTGATAATCTACTAGGCCCCATTACCCACATTGGTATTGTTTTTGAATTATTTGCTTCCAGTTGTTACAATTCTGGGGTATCTTCTTGTTATAATCATTGTTGCTGTTGTTACCATGTCATTGTCATTATAATCACCATCATCGGGTCAGAATCCTGAACTTTATGGATGCTAGAATGGCATACATCACAGAGAAGGCTCATTTTCTGCTCCTGAAAGATGAAATATCTAGGTAAATTTCTCTTATCACTAACCTTGTTTCACATTTACTTTATGTGCTACATGCTATGTTAAGAAATTTACCAACATTATATCTTATTGAATTCTCAAGGTAGAAATTTTTATTTCCATTTAACAGATGATAAATTGAAATTCAGTGAAGATAGGTAATTTCCTCAAGGTCACACAGCAATGTATTGATAGAGCCTAACTTAATTCTTGTGCATAAAAAATACATAGGGATGGAGGAACTTCTGACCACATGGGGAAAAAAAGAGGGGAACTGGTATCCAGGTCATGTTTACAGAATGTGGAGTGAAGGCTAACTGGAAGCTCAAAGAGAAGAGAGACAGGAAAATCTCCTAATTAATGGAAAAAGAGCAGGGAGAGAGAAAGGAAAGAGTAACATTGTTTTAGAATTCTTTATTTCATTAACATAAAATATCACCCTTGGTTTTTATTCAATACTTTTCACCTTGCTTAAGATTCATCTGACTTTTTTTTTCTTTTTCTTTATTGCAAACCTGGGGATCAACCCAGCCTTAGACCTGCAAGGCAAGTGCTCAACCACTTTGTTACCAGCTTTTCATTGCTGTGACCAAAATACCTGACAAGAACGACTTAGAGGAGGAAAAGTTTATTTTGCCTCATATTTCAAAAGTTCAGTCCATGGTTTGCCAACTCCATTCTCTGCGCCCAAGTGACACAGAACATCATGGTGGAAGGATGTGACAGAGGAGTTCTAAACTCAGCTTATGGTAGTAAGGAAGCAGAGAGAGGGAAGGGAAGGGGCCACAAGAAAGATGAGCCCCTTCCAGGGCACATCCCTAGGGACCCACCTCCTCTAGCACTGCCCCATCTCCCTACAGTCACCACCCAGTTAGTACATTCAAACTTGGATGGACTGATTAGGTTAGAGCTCTCATAATTTAATCATTTCACCTCTGAATATTCCTGCATTAACCCAGGATCTTTTGGGGAACACTTCATATCTAAGCTGTAACAGCCACTGACTGACTACATTCCATGTCTTCCAACTGATTTTAATACAACAGCTGTATTGAATTGACTGAGCTTAAGAGAATGAAATTATAAAATCAAATATCATATTCCACCACTCCTTAGTAAACTTACTCCATCAAACAGTACATTCTGTCCTTAGATAAAATTAAATCCTAGACAGTTCTCATAGTTCTTTGATCACTCTTAGATAATATGGAAATTCTCTCTCTCTCTCTCTCTCTCTCTCTCTCTTTCTCTCTTTTCACATTTAGAGGCCCAATCCAGTATGAGAATGAGATGAGAATTCCAAACTCCATTTTTGTGTGTATAGCACTAAGAATTAAACCCAGGGGCTCTTCACCACTGAGCTACATCCCCAACCCTTTTTATTTTATATTTTGAGACAGGGTCTTACTAAACTGCTAAGGGTGGCTTTGAACATGTGATCCTTCTGTCTTGGCCTCACAAGTTCCTGGAATTTCAGGTATATGCCACGACCCCCAGCTCCAAACTTCATTTTACTTAGTTGCCCCTCTACAGTATTGGGTCTGCTTTAGCCACGGAAGTCTGTAACAAGGCAGAAGAATGTGAACAAATCATATTTCCTTTGCTCACCTCCTTCCTCCAAGGCTGGGTCTAGGGGAAAAGGTCATGATATTATCTACAAATATTACTGTGATCTGGATATTCCAAGTTGACTTTCTCCTCAGGATCAATTTTGTGGATTTCTCAGAGACAAACCCAGTGGAACATCTCATGCATGATTGATCCTTTGATATCAGTTGGCTGCTTTTTACTCGTCTTTCAGCTCTTGGCTCCCATGGGTTACTATTGAGTTGGGCACCATCATCCTTTCTAGATGACCTAGATTCCTTTTCTAGATTTTTCCACCCAAGGTGGTTAATTTTCAGTAAATAGGAAACACAGATTGTCTCACCTGTCATGAGCTATCAATACATGTGGCTCACTCTCTAAGCAGCTTGCTTCTCTCACCTCTGCTGCTTCAAGCCAATATTGCCACAGGTGTCATTGTCGTCATCGTTATCGTCGTCGTGGTTGTCTTCTTCTTCCTTCTCCTCCTCCTCCTCCTCCTCCTCCTCCTCCTTCTTCTTCTTCTGTTGGGGGGATTGAACTCAGTACCTTGTGCATGTTAGACAAGCACTGTACCACTGAGTTGCATCCCCATCCCTTTTTATTTTAAGACAGTGTCTTGCTAAATTGCCCATTCTGACCTTGAATTTGCAATCCCCTTGCCTCATCCTCCAAAGTCACTGGGATTACACGTGTGTGCCACTGTATCCAGCTCAGGCCAATTTTATAATCTTATTTTTATAAACAGATCCCAAGCAAAGGACCATTTTTCCTTTAGACTCCATATACTTTCTCTCTGCTTTGAAAATTCAAAAGAAAAAAACTGGGGAAGTTATCGTTGGAAGGAGCAGAGAGCATAGTGGGGAAGACCTCTGTGGCTCAGCCTTAGCTGCTGTCCTTGCCTGCCACTGAACACTTGGAACATTTTTCACCTTCCCTAGCTTCCTGACTTGCTTTCATACGAACATGGCCCTAACCATGTTAGCCAAGCCCCTACACCTTTACCCCAAACCCTATTCATTATTTTACTTCCCAGCACTTTCTCACTTTTGTATTCAACATAGAACTCATGAAAGTAGAAAGTTTATTTATCTGCTTCACTGCAACCAGAAAGCAATTCTCTCCCCTAGCCCACTTTCATGAGTTCCCAGCCTCAGTCATTGTGCCCAAAGTAAGCAGTCACTTGGTCCACTGTATCCTGAGGCTGCTTCACATGATCAGGCAGAGGAGCATCTTTAAGGTCAATTGCCATTCTGACTATGGCCTTTGCTCTTGGCTGGCTATGGATTCTCCAGACCATAGATGAGGCCTTTTTGGGCTCGGGCTCTGGCACCCTCTAGTGGCCATTGACAAGCATGCAAGGTCAGCACTGACTTCTAGACCCCTGCCTGCTGGAGGCTGGGCTCTTCTTAAAGACATCATTACCCTTTGGTAACAATCCAAATGCAAGAGCAAAGATTGGAATTGAAAAGGAGAATTGAGCATACACAATCTTACCATCGCCTGCAACATTGCCCCCCACCCCCGCCCGCCCTCACATTCCTCTTAAAGAAATTCACAATTGGAAGACACTGTTAATCAACTTTCTATTACTATAATAAATACCTGGAATAATCAACTTAAACAAAGAAAAGATCTATTTTGGTTCACAGTTTTAGATGTTTCAATTAATGATTCATTTGTTAGCCCCATTACTAGGCTGTGGTGAGGTAGCACATTATGGTGGAGGCACATGGTAGAGCAAAACCACTCACCTAATGACCTGCAAGAGGAAAAAATAGAAAAGAAACCAGAGTTGTGCAGTCCCCTTCAGGGGCCCACTCCCAGTGACCCAAAACCCTTCCAGTAGATCCCATCTCTTAACATCTCTACCACCTCCCTGTAGCACCAAGCTGGACGCCAAGTCTTTAGCACATGGGGCTTTGGGGGACATTCCAGATCCAAACTATACACACACTCCCAATTTTTTCATTTAGAAATTCCTACATCTGGTTTCCAGGAAAGGAGTAGAGGACTATCTTACGGGTCTCAAAATTGAGAGGAAAACTTAAGAAGTAAGCTGCTTAGAGAGTGAGCCACATTTATTGATAACTCATGACAAGTGCCTCCCTTGGCCGTAGACAACAAGAAAACCTCTCTTCTTTCTTAGTAGCATTAAGCTGCAGGTTCAGTGTCCCCAACTAGCGATATGACTATTTGAAGACTTTGCCAGGAAATCTACCAGTGACCTCTACCCACAGGACAGGTACTTCAAAATAATGAAAGGCAATAATGTAGTCACGAGGTTTTTGTTTCTAGAAAGACTCCAGTAGGGCCAAGTGAGAAGAGGGAATAATATACATCATCAGCAGGTTGGACTTACCTTCCCTAGAGGACCCACTCTGATCTTGCCCAGTGTTCTAGACACAAGGAGTGGTATCCCTCTTCTTGTGGCAGTGTGGTTAGTGGGGGCACCTTGTTCTCTGGTAATTAGAGACTCAGGTCTGTATTTCTTATGACATGAGTTTACACAAATATGGATGAAAGTTAACAATGCGTAGCAAAGGATGACACCGTGAGAGCAGGCACTGCTCTTGATGCCTTGTGGTCCTCAGCCTTCCTTGGCCATGATCCCATGATCAGTGATCTCTCACAAGGCAAAGTGTGGCCTATGGGTCAAACCTGCCTTACCACCTCTTTTTGTACAATCCATGAGCTAAGAATGCTTTTTACAATTTTAAGTAGTTGAAAAAAATCAAAATAAGAATCAAATTTCATGACAAGTGAAAATTATATAAAATTAAAACTTCTATGTTCATAAGTAAGGTTTTATTGGAATATAGACTCATTCGTTTGTTTATATAGCCTCTAGAGTTGTTTTGGTTTCATAGTGGCAGAGATGAATGGTTGCAACAGAGACCTTATGGCCCACAAATCCAAACATATTTACCACCTGGACCTTAATAGAAAAAGTTTGCTGACCTCTCTCCTAGAAGACCTATGCCTTTTAGTTCATTACAGATTTCAGGAAACCGATTGGTTAGAGCAAGAAATTTGTAGTGGAGCCTTGCAGAGAATGAGTTCACACTGCAAAGGCCCTAACTGAAGATTCTGAATTTAATCTAGTAAGTCCATACAAAGCCTTTACAGTTGGTACCAGGAGCAAAGCAGTACATTCTAGAAACTTAACATGGCATCAGCAGTAGGAAGAACTAAATGAGAGAATTCTGTGCTAGGGAGACTGGTGATGGGCAACAATGATTCAGGGCTTGAAATAAGAAAAGTCTAAGATGAAGTGCTGCAGTCTGGCTGGGCACAAAATCACGAGCTACTCACACCTTGTAGATTCAAACAGCAACTCTTTATTCTCGAACTGTCACCGGCACTCTACACACAGGTTCTGGGCGAAATCCACGCTTCCACTGGGCTCTGCATCCCAAATACTCTCTCAATCCCGTGAGAACTCAACGGGAACTCAAGGAGCGGGTGCCTGGAGGCAGCAGGATACGCCCTATTCCCAGCAGGATACACCTTAAACCTGGAACCACCCTAAACCCAAGGAGTGCCCTAAACCCGGATCCGCCCTGGTCCTTGAGCAAGGTCATCTTACATACAATGTCACTGCAAATGACCTGGGTCATGCCATGCGTCATTCCTACTTGGCAATGGCTCTCAGCAATGAAGAACTGATAATTCTTTAAAAAAAATTAGTGTAGATGGACACAATATATTTTATTTATTTATTTATTTTTATGTAGTATTGAGGATCAAACCCAGTGTCTCATGCATGCTAGGCAAGTGCTCTACACCTAAGCCACAACTCTAGCCTAAGAACTGGCTATTGCTAGCATTCTTGGGGACAATGATAGAGGGCAGCAGATAAGCTGTGATTAAAGAAGCAGAGACAAGGAGGCCAGGTCACAGGTAGAATGAGGTCAAGCGACACTAAGACCCTGTGCTATGAAACATCTGAACACCTCAGAGTAGAATGTGATTTTGCCAGCTGGCATCATTTTTAACCAGATGATCCTGCAGGTAGATTTATTTTTACTTTCTAGTAGCATCTTTAAAAATACAACTTAGTGCTTGATAGATATGGAGCAAAGGAATGAACACATGAGTTAAGTTATTAATAATAATAAAGACAAAATTATTGTGTAAAATCATAAGTTGAAATGACTGATGAACTCTCCAATTCATTAAGTCTCTTTCTGATAATCCCAAATAAAGATCCTACCCAGACACTTTGGGGTTCCTTGCCATACTTTTCTATTAGATTGAAATTATCTAGTATGATCAATTATTAAGGAGAGAAAAATCACCATAATTTTCCAAACAAAATAAGGTTACATAATTGATCCTAAAATTGATGTCAGAATATAAGCTATTATTTCAGTTTTACAAAATTCTATAAGTAAATATATTTGCTCCTGGAAAGAAGAAAACTGTGAAGTTAATATTATTTTAAAAGAAAGTGTATTGAAAAATGAAAATAACTACCTTATTACTTGAATTTGAGATAGAGAACTATTTCTACTACTCAGAATTCATCCTTAGTAAATATACTAGCAATTTTAAGGCCCAAATTAAATTTTGAATTTAAGACTTCAGTGAAGTGAACTTCAAGAGAAAGAATAGTTGGTTTTTATCTTTTACATTTCCATTTTTAGGGTGGGGGAAATTTTTCTGAAAAAGTGGTTAACAGCCATATAAATAAATCTCTGTAATAGATATAGGTAAGATTTTTTTAAATGACTATTTATTAGCATGAAGTTGAGGATAAGTCCCTAAGATTTTGTGCACATTTAATTTTTTTTTATTACCCTTAAATTTCTTATGCAACAGTTCATCAACTGTATACTATAGAACTTTTTTTTTTTTAGTTTTTGTATTCATAACAACCAATAATCTCCATAGCATATTCAATGCTATACCAGGAGCAATGACCAGGATGAGAGTAAGACTTTCAGAATAATACCAAAACTACATCAGACATGAATGACTTCAAATTATTTTTTTTAAGAGAGAGAGAGAGAGAAAGAGAAAGAGAGAGAGGAGAGAATTTTTTAATATTTATTTTTCAGTTTTCGGTGGACACGATATCTTTATTTTATTTTTATGTGGTATTGAGGATTGAACCCAGTGCTGTGTGCATGCCAGGCAAGCATGCACTGCTTGAGCCACATCCCCAGCCCTCAAATGATTTTTAAGTCATTATTTTTGAAGGATTATTTAGGATAAAAACCATAACCATTTTAAATGTACATATATAAATATCACACTAAGTGAAGTAAAGAGGGAAAGAAATTTAAAAATAGAAAATATGCATGAATAAAATATAAAATAGAGAAAACACCAACCCACTCTTGTTCTTCCTGTCGTTGCCTCTCCCAGCATTAAATTACTTACTTTGGTTCTCCTTCCTCACAAGAAGTTATCAATGAAGTTCCTTGTTTCTGGTTCCAGTTGGTGTCTATTACTTAAAGCACAATGTTG